AACTGAATTACCACCACCGTGTTAAATCACTTTAACGCTCTTGGGTCATTTATGACTTGCCCGGTGGCGAGATTTGAACTCGTGATCTTTGGATTAAGAGGTATGGATGTTGAACACTACGCCGGAGTCGCCCCGCAAATAATTAATAATTTACACACAAAAAATGGCATAAATACAACCGATTTCTTACAAACTTTGTGCTTTTTTTTAACAGCAAACGAAATTACAGTTCTCACAATGGACTACACCGAAAATAGTTTTCATGTAGCTTCCATTGGAAACGCAAATGATTTTCATCCATAAACAAAATTAATGAAATTCATCTGAATTTCACATGACATTTATGCGATCATTTTATATGATTTTTCATATGAATTTCATCGGCCTCATAATATTCATGTGATTTTGTGGTGGGATTTTTAGCTATGTGATCACATGAAAGCTATGTGAAATTCACATGGTTTTCATCCATTAGATATGTGATAAATTTTTTGAGTGATAGCAACATTTTCCAGAATGGATATTTTCCATTAGAGTAATAAATTCCAAAGATTGGCAAATGGAATTCCTTTAGAGGCCATTACTGGGACACATCATAAATGTAATGTATAGCCATAACTCGTACATCTACGCTATTCAAATGAAAATTAATATAAATTGCTTTAATTTCTTTCACACAGGCTTGCCACAAATCATAATGCTAAATTCTTAAATACTTTATCAACTAGCAGTCCAAATTTCGCACTCTGGCACCACCTAATGAGTCAATTTTTAACTGAGCTGTTTATTAATAAACTAACCAAGCCAATTTTATCTACTTTTCTTAAGAAAGGAATGTCTTAAATGGTCTCGAGTTTGGTCAAGTTAGCAATGAACAATGTTTTACTCTAGTGTCACCTGAGGAATTAATTCTAAACTAAACTGATCGCTATGAACGGATCTCGTACTCTTATAAATGCAAGTAAATTCGCAACTCAAATGTTTCCTGCCACAATGGTCTTATCCAGGTAAACAAATTTGCTGAAGGCAAACAAATTCAATCTGGTTAGGCTCCTAGTTATCATCATTGGAAGAATTTTATCTAATTTTCTCTTCCTCTCTCTAACCAGTCAATTTCTAACTAAACTGTTCACTACTGAATGGGTATCGTCATATATTTTTAAAAACTGCGCATACGTACCAATAAACCACAGGCAAACGGACATAACGCATTGAGTATTTTTTGCTATAAGATCTAGTCATTAAAACATTACCGCCATCTGGTAATGGTAATGGCCAGTACGATCATCAGATGGCGGTAGTGTGTAAACGTCAAACGTAAATTGACCGTTAAATGCATATTGGATGAAAACATGCAAGTGTTATATCTGTGCTTAAACAAAGATCCTAAGATGCAACCTACCAAAAATAAATTAGATATATTCAATAACTACTGAGAAATTGATGAAAATATACCAAAAGGAAAAAAACCCTCTTTGTAATAAGAATTTGCTATTATCAATATCCCTTTCTTTCTTCGTTTGTTACAACTTTCAATTAATATTTCTACTTCGTGCTAATATGTTGATTTACTTAAATAATTTTAAACTTCAGCCATCAACATTTGTATGATCAATTTAATAAACACTAGCGAATAAATAAACACTAGTAGTAGCAGTTCAACAATGTACAATCCAGCAGGGAAAAAGCTCTATTTTCTTCGAAACAGTGAACTCAGCAGGAAAAAAGCTCTGTACAGCAGCGAAATGTGAAGATAGCAGGAAAAAAGTTCTTACCTACTACTTGATACAGCAGAGTGAATACGAGAGGCGTGGCCCGGACAGCAAAAAAAGAATCGTGTGTACTCTGCTATCGTCCTTGTGTGAGCTTTTTTCCTGCTTGCTTCGCATTTTGCTACTGTACCTACCTACATTTGTTTTCATCTGTGCTGATTAGCTAGCGCTAGTATACTAGCCAACTAGCGCGAATTTCAGTTGCTCCTGAAAATCATGCTGGTAGACGCTGATACCCTGTTTACATTGTGCTGATGAGCTTTTTTGCTAGATGCTGGCTAATTAGCGCTAGTGAAATAGCATAAGTTTTAACACCCTATTCATGTTTAATTGGCGGATGGCGTTTGCCGTATAGGAAATAATACGGCAATAATAGCAATAATCTCCTCCTTCTTCTTCTTAATCGCTTTATTTAACTTCGGTCTTTGTTCCGCAATCTAGTGCCAATCACCGACGGACATCGAATACCCATCGAATGTGCAGGAAGGCTGCTTCCACACCCTGCGTAGGATATCGCACCCATTCAACACACATGGGCCGGGACCAACGGCATTTCTGCCCTTCCGAAGGAACAGCTGACCAGAGATTTTTATGCCTCAGAAAAATTCGACCGACCTCGGCTGGGATTGAACCCAGACCCATTGAGGTTAGAAGCAGTCACCACCGGCGCAGGCATGATGTACCTAACCGATTTAAATACAACAAATCAACACAAAACAAAAGCAACAAGTAGGCATGGAAAATCATTTGCATTCATTTCGTGCATTCATTTACATTCATTTGCCCTAACTTTTTTCATCAATAGAATTCCGCAAAATGATGTATGGAGCTTTTGTAGGTTTTGTTATTAGCTACAACTTATTTTAACAACTCAAATCCGTATCTCTTATGAATGACGAACCAGAGCGAACAGAAGCCACCTACTGTTTTTTAGTGAATGTATTTTACATTAACTGAAAAACAGTAACAAGTTCTGCCCGCTCCAGTTCGTGATGCATAAGAGATACAGATTTGAGTTATGGGTAAAAGTATTAGCTAATAAAAAAAAACCTACTAAAGCTGTATACATCATTTTGCGGATTGCTATTCATGAAAAAAAATAGAGGCAAATGAATGTAAATGATTGCATGAAATGAATGTATGTAAATGATTTTCCATGCCTGGCAATGAGCCTTAATAGGCCATTATCCATATATAGTGAAACCCATTCTTACCATAGTTTTTAAAATTTAAAATTTAAAGGATTCCGATTCTTGTTAGGTTTTAGCCATTTACTAAGAAATGTCTGAAATAATTCTGGATGGAAAGCGGGCTAACACGCGCCACGGGGTGATATCACTAATGGTATATTTTCTTGAACTTTTTAAAGATAGCACTCAGATCAGTAGTTGCCATAATAATTTTGGGTTAAAAAAATTCGCAGATTTGAAAAATATCTAAATCTTTGTTTTTGGTTATATTATCGAGTATATTACCATATTACCATGGCACGTATTATCTCACCTAGAACTTTATTACAAATGGATTGGATTTGGTCTAACTGGGCATCCAGAATCATTTAATACACTTAAGTTTTAATAAAACTGGTTTGATGTGTCACATGATAGATTCTGTTTTTAATTAAAAGTTCCGATCAGTTCTCCGCGTTTCCAAGGTAGAAATATGTCTGTATGTTTGATGAGTCCAGGTGATTCAACATCGAAATCCCAGAATGAAAAAGTTCTATGATTAACATTAACATCGAGTTATTTATTTATTTATTTATATTGCTCCCCACAAACATTATATACATATTATAATACCCTTATAGCTGTAACGGCAATAAAAAGATGCATTGTTGAATATTATTGTACTATTGATAGCTGAAAATACTTCTGAGCATTTGAGGGGACACAAAGCAAATGTAAAGTGTAGAAGAAATTTATATATGTAACCAGTTCGTTTTTCATTGTTAATCTGATTATAATGTTATACTTAACGATTGAAATACTGGAATACTAGTGTCCCCTACCAAGAGAATTTTTTTTGCCATTTATATGCTACGTGGACAGAAAAAGTATGATTTTTTACTCGCCCCTACGTGAACAAGCGTGGACAAAGACTCACCCTCCCCCCTTTCCTGATGTCCACGTGAACTTATGTATTTATCAAGTTATCTAAAAAAAGATTCGAGTCGTGCCTAACATTTATTATTTATAATTTATAACAATATTATTTTGTACAGATTGTTCTTTGAATCATCAGATAAGTAAAAGTAGATTTCAATTATAGTTCTGATAATTGTTAACTCTTTGGAGGAGTGTCAAATTGTCAAGATAACCGCAAATATTTTCTATACCTTGCAATTTTGTTTTCAACAAAGTTTATTTTAGATACATTCAATTCCAAAGCTAAATCAGGTATAAATCAAGATCAATTCCAGCAAACAAAAGGTAAGATAATATTTACAAGCTACATGTAAATCTAGTGTACTTAGAGATGAATCAAAATTTGCCAATGGCTTAAAATAACTTTATCAAAGATTTTTTTGGAAATGTCCTTAAAGTTCTTTTGGTCCTCCGGAGGCGAACCAGCATCAGGCTGAAAGCCTCCCTAATAAAGAAATCCTAACCTTTTTTGAACTCCCCATTCTATGAAAACGATACGAAAATTTATACAGGCTCGACATCTACTTTAAAAGTGAGCGTACCCATATAAGTTTGTCTAGCCCATTGCTGGATCTTTAAACTCAGATAATATTTTTTCGAAACCTTCTTTAACTGCTTTCAGAAAACATCCGAACCTGCCCTGAATCTACTTAATCATTATATTCATTTTACCTATGAAATAATATATAACTTATTCACGAGAAAACTACGTAGTTTTGGCATCACTGCACTTTTATATTCAAAATTGTCAATCCAGCAGGGAAAAAGCTCTTAGTGTGAACTGAGCAGGAAAAAAGCTCTGAACAGCAGGCAAATGTGAAGTTAGCAGGAAAAAAGCTCTTCGGAGCAAAAAAAATGTGAAGCTAGCAGGAAAGTTTTTTTTCTTGCTGGTAGTTCGTCGTTTGATACATAGGCGGCGCAAAAAAAAAAATTTTTCTTGCTCGAATTTTCCTGCTAGTTTGGCAGAGGTAAAATGTTGCAGTTATTTTGTTCAGTATAGAACGAAAAAAATAAAACTTATGAGGAAAACGAAATAATCGTGTATACTGGTGGATGACGGACGCAATCTTCGGAACAAAATTTGATCGGAATTGTTTACAGTTCCGTCGTTGAATAGCGGATTCACAGCAGATTAAACTTTAAATAGCAATTTTACTATCTATTCCCGATTTTCTGTTTGATTAATTGTGTTCTACAGTTACTCAAGAGATCGCGAAATCGCCGTAACCATCGATCAAGTGAATTAACGTGTTCGCCAGTGACAAACTCTATTTACAAAAATTTATCCCCGTTTCGCTGCTATGAGCAACGCTGTTATGATGGATTACGAGTTCAAAATGAAGACGCAGCAGGAGCGAGCCAAGGTGGAAGACCTGTTCGAATACGAAGGCTGTAAGGTCGGCCGGGGAACGTACGGACACGTCTACAAAGCGCACCGGAAAGAAAGCAACGACACGAAAGACTACGCTCTGAAGCAAATCGAGGGAACCGGCCTGTCGATGTCGGCTTGCCGGGAGATTGCGGTAGGTTTGGCGCCTTTTTCAAACTGGTTAAAGTTTTAGATTTTCATATAATATGTTTGTTCCCTGCAGCTACTCCGAGAGTTGAAGCATCCCAACGTCATCAACCTCATACGGGTGTTTCTGTCGCATACAGACCGGAAGGTTTGGTTACTCTTCGATTATGCCGAACACGATCTGTGGCACATAATCAAGTTCCATCGCGCTGCAAAGGCCACCAAGAAGCCGGTTATGGTACCGAAAGGGATGGTCAAGAGCTTACTGTACCAGATATTGGACGGAATTCACTATCTGCACAGCAATTGGGTTCTGCATAGAGATCTGGTTGGTTCAGATTGGACTGTCTTGGTAGATTCCGATTTAAAAGAATGTTGAATATTTTAGAAACCTGCCAACATTCTCGTGATGGGAGAAGGGAACGAACGTGGACGTGTGAAGATCGCCGATATGGGTTTCGCTAGGTTGTTCAATGCGCCACTGAAACCGCTAGCGGATCTCGATCCAGTCGTAGTAACATTCTGGTATCGTGCACCGGAATTGTTGCTGGGAGCTCGACATTACACGAAAGCCATCGATATCTGGGCAATTGGATGCATTTTTGCGGAGCTGCTCACATCGGAACCGATATTTCACTGCCGCCAGGAGGACATCAAAACGAGCAACCCCTATCATCATGACCAACTGGACCGAATCTTCAATGTGATGGGCTTCCCTCAGGACAAGGACTGGGAAGATATCCGGAAAATGCCCGAACATCATACGCTCACGAAGGACTTTAAGCGATCCAAGTATGTAATTGGCGCGAATAACTGTACCGCTTTAACTCCATCGATGCTTTCACTGTCTCCCCTCACAGCTACGCAAACTGCTCTCTGGTCAAGTACATGGAACGCCACAAGATCAAACCGGACAGCAAGGCGTTCCATCTGCTACAAAAGCTGCTGCTGATGGATCCGAACAAGCGTATAACTTCGGAACAGGCCATGCTAGATCCCTACTTTTCAGAAGATCCCATGCCTACGGCGGACGTCTTTGCCGGTTGCCCTATACCTTATCCGAAGCGTGAATTCCTCACCGATGAGGACCAAGACGACAAGGGCGAAAGCAAACGGCAACAGCAGCAACAACAACAGCAACAGCAGCAACAACAACAGCAGCAGCAACAACAACAACAACAACAACAACAACAACAACAGCAACAGCAGCAGCAGCAGGCCAACGTAAGCTTATGATTCAATTGTTCACGCTAACACTTGTACTGATTTCCGATTTCTTTCTACAGCAACAAGCACAACAAAACCAACAACAGCAGCAGGCAAATGTAAGTTGTTTGAATTCGTTGGTACGTCCTAATCTTATTAATTTCTTTACCCTTTCTCAAGCATCAGAATCAGCAGCAAAACCAGCAACAGCAGGCAAACGTAAGTATAATTTTAACACTTTATACCTCTACTGTTAACCACACTTCATCCTTCCAACAACAGCAACAGAACCAGCAATCCCAACAGCAGCAGCAGCAGCAACAACAACAACAACAGCAAATGCAGCAACAACAGCAAGCACAGGGCGGAATGGATCACAGTGCCGCCAAAAGGGTACGCATGTCCGGCCCAAGCGGACAGCCCGGGAACGGTATGAATCAACAGGACTATCAGCAACAAGCCCAGCAAGCAGCAGCCGCTGCTGCAGCGGCTCAGCAGCAACAGCAGCAGCAACAACAACAGCAGCAGCAGCAGATGATGTTCAACAATTCTCAGCAGGGCGGATTCCAACAACGGTATTAATCTCCTAGTGTGTAAGGTAGGTCATCAATTTAATTTGTTTTACGAACTGTGTCAGTTGTCATCAAAAGCTCATTGATTGCATATAAACTATAAATTAATCGGTCTAGTATAAGCAAAAGGAAATTTGCAATACTTAATCTAATGAAAATGTTGAGAAAATCCTAGATTGATATTTTTCAATACTTTCGGAATTGAACGAACAGCAAAAGGTCTTGAATTGCTCACAAATCTTCTCCTATGAATCATTATCCTGTGTCTCGAAGCGTACTAAAGAACAACTGAAAATAAAACCTAAATCCTGAATTAAATTTTAATAAAGATGTTTTACGAGTGCGCCGTGTGCAATGGCAAGTTTTGGTTCGGTCGCAAGTTGAACAGATATGAGAAGCTGTGATAGCCATGCTCTTGGGGGCCGTTCAAATTTGACACTGGACCGGTCCGAACCGTCAGCGATCTTCTTGCTGCGACTTTTGTGTGTAAAATTCGATTCGTTCGAAAACGGGAATAACCCTGGATGATTTCCGCCGAACATGCCGTGGGAGACAGTAGATTTACCTGGGGCGCACTGAGTATGCCTTGAAAATGTTCTATAGTGGAAACTGATTCGTATCATTAGACACAAGAACATTCGGAAAGATATTTGAAAAACGCAACCCACTTCCGTTCAAAATGTATTCGTTTTTCTTTGGGGTAAACAAAAACACGTACCTAAATCACAACTTACAGATATCGCAAGTACCGGATCAAATTCTGTGGAATTTCCAACGCGTTCAACCGTGCAACGAACACCAAATCGCGTTTCTTCTCGTCCTCGTCGATGGCATTGAGCACCGCTTTACGGACGACATCCCGCGTCTGTCGCAGCAGCGTGAACTCCTCGAACCGGTACCCGTGGCAACTCTGTACCAACCGGAGCGTTCCGTGCCTATGCAACAGTTTGGAGTACATTGCCTTCTCGAGATTGGCAGCCGTTAGCCAACGTTCGTCCATGAAAACATCCGTGCAGAATCCGACGACCGGATGGAAAAACTTCGCCTGCAAATGAAGATCACTCACCGAGGCAGTCATGGTGAGCAGAACCGTGTCGGCTTCCACTGAAGTAATTTCTATTATTTTATTCACGACCGTTTCGTATCGGTACAGCTCAACCGCGGTCATCGCTTCGTTCTGGTCTGCTTCATCGTTCATTAGAACGTTCTTGATCATATCTAACGTTTCCGCCAGATGATCCGAGAAAAAGTAAACCAGGTGCTTCACGAAATCAAGATATTCCAACAGCATCCGCAGTTTTTTCTCGTTGTCATCTTCACGAATTGCCGCAACACTCAGGGCAACCAGTTCATTCTGGATCAACGAGTGGCTATAGATTACTTCATAGTTCATGAAATCATCCTGCAGTCGTCGTATTCCTTCATCATCAGAGAGCAACAACGCAAGGAAATGGTACAGATTCCTGTTCACGCGATCACTAAACCTGCTGGTCTGATACTGATCTCTGGGTCCTTCCAGAAGTTCTCTAGCCAATCGTCGTTTATCGAGGTTCGCTTCCCACAGTAAAGCGATTTCCACAAAATAAGGAATTAGGGACGTTGACCGGTAGCTAAGTAACGCCACAGCATAAATATCTTCCATCCGGTATTTCTGCCGGTATTCCTGCTTCCTGTGCATGTAGTTGAAGAGTAGCTTGAAGCAGGCAATTTTCGTCTTCAAATCGTAATTCCCTCGTGCGGCCAACATCTCCAGCGCGTCGATATCGTTTTCCGATCGTACATTTGCATCAGCGTGTCCAACGTACAGCAAGTGAACCAGAATCTCTACGTGTCCAAATTCCAACGCCGAATGGAGCGGAGTTTCTCCGGCGAAATCTGGTGCATTTACGTTAGCGCCATGTTCAACTAGTAGTTCGACCAGGTTCAAGTTCCGTCGTTCTACGGCTATGTGTAGAGGAGTAATGTATTCGTTGTTTGATACGTTTACAAGGGTTGCATTCTTTGCCAGTAACATTTCGGCGATCTCGATCTGGACTTCCTTCATACAGGCCAGGAATAGTGCTGTACGGCCTTCGTAGCAACGAGCCTTCACATCAATGTCGGTCTTGGAGAGCAGTAGCTCGACACATTCCGAATTCCCACTAGCCACCGTATGATGCAACAAGGTCCAGTTATGGTTATCGCGAAAGTGTCCCACCTTGATGAGCCTGTTCTTGCTGGATTTCTTCTGCAGACATTGCTGGAGTGCAATCGGATCTCCAGTGGCCGCCGCTTGCCAGATGTTTTTCCCCGTGGACATCCTGTCTAGACTTTGTGATGTTTAATATTAATATTTTGGCAGTAGTATTGCATGCCATTACCTCTGACCGATTGTAGAAATCTATTGATGATTATCGAAAAAACATGTTTTGGAGATTGCGCTTAAACAAGCAAACGTAAATAAAACTTATTTTTTTATTATTCTTTTGCAAAACAACATCAGTACACTTTTTTTGCTACATCAACATATTTTAAAAAATAACCCACAAGTTTAAGTTAATACTTTTACTCGTTTTTAAAACTACCCAAAAAGTTATGGAAATCTACCCAGTTTGGCGAAATGTACACAGAAACAAAATCCATTGGCAAAAATACTATATTGATGGTTTAAATTAAATATTCCCACCAATAGATTTGTGCAGAAACGAAATTCGTTTAATTTGACTATTTTTTCTTTCAAAACTACTATACCGTTTGAGTCAGCATAGTAGTTTTGACAGAATGGTAGTAAATTTGATTATATTTATAGTGGTGGATTTAACGGTATTAAGCGTAGTTATACTGAAAATAAGTGTTTTCTGCAAAATAGTATTCCTAACTATTATCTTTGTTTTAGTGTACACACAGAGTTTAGATTACCGAAGTCGGTAAAATTTTATTGTGATTTTAAACGACTGAGTTTTCAGTAATCAAGCCTGTAGCACAAACGAAGTGACAGACGGAGCAGCTCGAAAACTTTGGTGACGCACCTGCTATTGCAATTTTTCAGTGTACCACACGGCAACACCACTACTACTGGCTTGTACCACATGGCAACACTACTAATGGATTGTACTAGAATGTTTTGGTTCTATCAACAATCAATACGAAAGTAACGATTTTAAATTAGCTCACTACTTGACTAGCCTATTGGTCCCATACAAACGATTAACGTACCCCATTCTAGTCGAAATTCTAGTACTACGCAATGTTTGTTTGACAGATAAAATGAGGGGTTATTCGTTTTTCCTATGTTTCGAGGGGTGAATCGATTAGCTTGGGACCGAAAAGAGTACCACACTCAAAAATATTACTAAAATAAGAAAGATTAAAATTTAATCATTTCAGTGCTAACATTTGAAAACGGCGCAAAAGCCATTTGTAAACAAATGGTTTTTGGGCCCTTTACTCGCTACCCGCAGAACGCCCACGCAAACCAACAGCATCGTCAGGAAGGGGAAAATTTCCCCTACCCGATGTTGCTGTTGTGTCGCGTGGGTGTACTTCAAGTAGTGAGTAAAGGGCCCACAAACCATTTGTTTACAAATGGCTTTTGTGCCGTTTTCAAATGTTAGCACTGATTTTATGCATAACCAATGTTTATACATTGATTCGATTATTTTATTTTATCAAAATTATACTAAGTCCGACTACTGGCAAAGAATTCGATCAGTGTATACCGCTGACAGCAAAGCTGTACAAGAATTAAAAGTGCTGAAGGACGAAAACTGTTTTGGAAAGACTCCATTATCGTTCCAGCCCTCTCGTCGAGCTTCACACGCTGCAGGATATGTTGACAATCAGGAATAGGAATTCCTGTCCTTGTCTTTATCCATAGTTCACCAAGGAGTAAACAAAGCTTTAGTAAGTATTGAAGAATTGAATCAGTTAAGATTTGAGAAGAATACTTGAATAATAATTTTGTTTTTAGCTTCAAGCAACGTTGGCAAGCAAATAAGCCCAAGTACCACAATCTCCAAAATTCAATTGCACCATGTTTGCAAGCTTAGGACCTTCGTGGCACCGAATGAAGATGACCGGTTTTGAAACGGTGAAGAACTGCTGGTAAGGTGAATTTGAACAGTTTCGCTTGCCAAGTGCCAACTCTAAACTAGATCCAAACATCCTCTCTTTCCAGGCCGGTTACAACGCCAAAAAATATGAACCTGAATCCGATCACTCGCTAGCGCCATTCGGTTTGCACCATCACGGTCAATTTCTTCCGCATGTTGGACAGTAGGGGGCGAGGTAGGGGGCTAACTATAAAGACACTCCGAACTTGAACGAAACTGGCGCGGATTGATATCAGACCGTTTGAACAATTTCGGAAGCGTGAGACTACAGTTTTGAAATCGCCATAGGCCAAGCGATTGTTTGCCCCTTTGATGGATGTGCTGTGTAGATTTTGCTAGGAGATTCGGCTGTCCTGTCAATATCAATCTTGTGGAAACGATCAACACGAGGAATCACCGGATAGCAGCTGATCCAAGTTGCCACATCTCAATGCCCACGGAAACCTCATAGATAACATTTTGGATACCCACTATTGCACTTATTTATCGGTTCGAATTTTCTGCATATCATTATTAATTAATCCAGTTTATGTTATATGATTTATTGTGATAAATAATAATTGACAATAAATTTCCTCCTGTAACATTATTATTAGGTTTAAAATTAATAACATTGGAAATATCACTGACCAGCACATAAAAATACTATTCATGGAATAAATCGCATTTATGCATCATTTGAATATTCGCACTTTATACATTTGACTGCATAAAGCATTTTTATACTAAGTCAGTTTTCTCTCCCTTTATACCAATCTATGCGTCGGTCAGGAGAGTTGCGATTTAGCGTAACTTTTAATCTATTTAGATTTGAAAATCTTTTGAGTGCAGAGCTGAGCCAAAAAGTTGAGCACGTTATTTCGGGACCTTCTAGTCTTATGGCGGTAAGCTCCAACTCGGATTAACTTTTAATACCGTCCCTGTTTGAATGATCTGCAAAGTGTTTGCATAACATCGTGTTGAATAACTGTGATGTCGACATCAAAGCAGCCGGATATTCTTGATCGGGATTTAATCCGAGGATAATACCGATTGGAGCTTACCGCCATTAGAGTTACCCGCATAAACGCGAACCATAAATTGACCTTACCTAAAATGGTTAAAAATTGTTTATAATCCCTGCTAAACTTTAACTGAAATGGTTATGGAACTTTACATGAACGTTTAATCATAAAGTTTCAACCTTATGTATTATGGTTTTTTGGAACTGGACCTTACAAATAATGGGTTGTTAAGAACCATTACCATTCCAAATTCTTGTTTTCTCCATACATTTTCAGAAAGAGAACTATATAAGAACGTTTTTACTTATGATTTGAGAACTTTAATGGTAATGGTTATGGTAGTCAGTAAGGTACATTAATGGTTTTGTATTATCGCTCAACTTTACGTGGAATATATCGTGAATCGGTAATCAGTAAATTACAGGCAACCAATTCGCGATATATTCCACATAAAGTTGATCGATGTTACAAAACCATTCGCATGGTTCGCTTTTATGCGGGTACCTCTATAGTTCTATCTCTTTCACTCTACCACAAACGTTTGTGGTCAGAAGGAAGTGCCTGAGTATCGGGACCAATTCCACAAAGCGACCACCAGGCGCCACTATCTCGCTACAACAAACGAATTACCAGAAAGTCGTACAGCCATCGCTACAACCTGCAACAGATCAACCAATCAAATCACCATGTTTCCACCAGGATCAGCGCAGCACCGGAATATGATTCAAAATCTCGTCGCATCCGCTCGCCGGATTGCCAGAGTGTATGGTTTAAATTTGTAAAGTTGATCAATCCATTTGAAAAATTCTGATATTCAAAAACTTATGCAAATTCTTGAGTCATCCTTTTTTTAGCAACTCGCAGATCAGAAAATCATCAGCCAATGCTGATTGTAAAGAAAACTGGCCACACGGTTTGGGCCAAATACCAGTCTAGTGATAACGCCATATCGCTGTTAGGTAAACGAAGGAATTGAAAGGAGAACAGTAAATAAAAACAAATCGAGACCTAAAGTATATGGAATGTTGATAAGTGAGTAAATTAAAAACTTTTATTATAGTGGAATTACTAATGTAATTAAAATAGTGTTGATAGAAGTGTAATTGATCAGTTAGAAAATTGCGCTACCAGTAATTGAGGGTAAATTTGTTGAGTTACAGTTATGAAAAACGATGATATAAAATAGCTACTTTATCTAGGTTGGATAACACTGGAAGACAAAACTAAATCTAAAATTACAGATACCGTAAACTAGTGACTAGAAAGGTGGACAAAGATCCCGACTAGAAAAGTAAGTAATCCATGAATTTATCGCAAGATTTGAATTATGTGCGATTGGGACTAATTATATAATGATACCCAGACTAGTGTTGGAACAAAAGTAAAAGCTTCAACGCACCACTCGTAGGACGAGATAATAAGGAAAACTATCTATTGTAAGTTAATTGATTGATTTGATAATGTGAAACTAATGTAGGATTAAACTTTGCAGTTAAAGCTGCGTAAATCAGCTGCTATAAAAAGATAGTGCAATCTTTAAGTAGTATTCCGAACAAATCTTTAAAATAGATAAACGGATAACCTCAAATACCTACGATGAGTGTGAATCTCACTATGACGGCCTGTGGTTCCTGTTCGACAATTTCCGAGACTGATGGAGGGATGATTGCCTGCGATAACTGTAACAAATGGTTTCATTACCGTTGTGTAGGAGTGCAGGAGGAAAACGTCCACGATCAGGAGAAGTGGTTTTGCCCGACAGAGAAATGTCAGCAGGTTGAGGAAGAGCAGGAAAAGATTGTGGAAAAACGTAAGAAGAAAGGAAAATCTTCCAAGAAGACGCTCGCAACGGACGACAACTCTGACATTTCAAGCGTTAAGTCCGATCAGCAGTCCGGTTCGCTTCTCGAGGAAAAACTAAAAAAGCTAGAGAAGGAGCAAAGAGCGAAGGAGAGGGAATTGGAGGTGGAACGTCTGCTGTGGAAGAAAAGGATGGATATGGATCGTAGCCTGAAGCAAAAGAGACTCCAAATGGAAAATGAGATGAGGAAGCAGGAAATGGCGCAGGAAAAGGAGTTGCTAGAGGAAGCACTCAAGGATGAACAAGAACATTTGGACCAAATGGAGCAAATGCGAGCAAAGTACCAGGATAAGAGGGCAGGCGTGAAAGAAAAGTTGAAGGCCTTTTTGAAGAACTCAAAACGGCTAGGAAAAAAGCAGGATCCTCAGGAGGGACAATCGAAATCGTTCAAGCATGCGCAGGAGAAAAATTATAGTGGATCGAAACCAACCAATGGTACTGGAGGTCATTGTAAAGATGAGAAAAAAGCTGT